TTAACTGCAAGAAGAATGAATCATGTGTCTCTTTTTCGATTAAAGAAATGCTTTGACGCTTCTGCGTGCCGGACGGATTTTTTCCGAAAAGTATTGTTGCTGTGGTGCTGCTTAGAGGTAGAGTTATGGAGAGAGCGAGAGATGTGGAGGTAATAGTTGCTAGAGGTAATATCTGATATTGATTGTTTGTCATTTTAGAAGACCGCTCTGAGCGTTTCGATTCGTTCGGTGGTCAGCTTCCAGTAACCCGCGAGTTTGGTGCAATTTTGAAAGCACGTAGGCAGATGCGTTGTCAACAACAAATACCGCCGAAGCGAGGTCTCACTGCATGGCGCTCGTCGCACACAAATGCCGAAACGTTGCGTCCAAGAGCGTTGCTAGGCATCGTCATGCGACTGTTCACGTTCGTTCGCCTAGGCTTTTCTCGTGACGATTGATTGACGCTGTCCTTGGCGATGCACTGACGGTCATCGCCGACAACATGTTTAAAGTAAGTGCTTGAAAGATGGTCGTAAAGTAAGCTAGAGGTTTTTGCCACACGTCACGTCGTCTTTTGTTCGTCGCCCTGATTAAGTTCGTTTTAGGCAGTTTGAACACCGTGGTAGTTTTTTAATGATTTCCTCGTCGATGCCAAGACCGGTTGGCATACGGGAACCGCTTGTCGACGTAAGCTACGACGGACGAAGTACGATTTGTTTTGAACTTACCTTCATGCATGATTTTTCTTGCACTCAGAACAGACATGGTGGCCGATAGTGATTCTGGAAACGACGGCGAGGACGCCACCCAAATATGATTGACTTAATTTGGTACATAACCAACAACCGACGACGAGATGTGCCATAACGCTGCTGATAGGCTCAGTAATTCAAGCGGTAACTGGCGCGTACACCGATTACACCTCGCGCAAACAGGTAAGCATAACTCCTGGCTCCAAACTCAGTATCCACTGCAGGCACCAAGCAATACATCCAAAATTTTACCAGCCTCCAGCCTTGAAGAAATTTCCTGAGGTACAAGTTGAAACGTCGGTATTGGTCAGACATCCGACTGATCATGCGTTTTTGCGTTGTATAATTAATAAACCATGTTTTATGCTGTTTTTAAGTACGCCGATCCCGATTCTTATTTCCACTCGATAGCCTAAAGAGCACTGTCAAGCGTAATTGATTAGTGACTATTCGTGGCATTCGAAGGCACGAACTGGATTCTTTTCCAGAGGTACATTCGCAACATTTGACTCACCAACGAGCTGCGTGCACCGTTTGCGAGTTTCATACGTAGTGTTCGTACTTACCGTCACCTGATCACAAAGTTAGGTTTTTTGCTGTAGTGTACTCTGATCTGGTACAATGTGTGATCATCTTTTATTTTATTTTATTACGGTTTATACCTTGTGCTAATCAGTAGTCAATTGTCAGGTTTTTAAGACGAATTGCCACCGTAAGACTCACGTATAAAACAGTACGGTCTTATGCCTGCCACGCTATGGCATGACTTCATCAAGAACCATTCTGCCCTTGTTTTCAGCGATTCGCTGGTTGCATTGAAGTAGAGTTGGGCGAATACATTGATTAATGGAATTAGCAGTATTAAAAAAAAGTGTTACGCCACACGTGGGTCGCAAACTACTGCGCCACTACTATAGGAGTCTGTAACGCGGTCACGTTGGGGCTGTGGCACCTAAGAATTTCGTTAGGTTTTCATGTATGCTCTCTCCTAGGGTAAAAGAGGAAAAGTACTATTTTGCAACCAGAGTCGAAAGGTCAGACTTGGATGGAAACTGCGTGGCATACCGGGTTTCCCGCAGTGATTCCCAGGAAATTCGATACTGCGGAGATTCCTTTTGCGATACTCAAGCAAGTCCGTTTATCTGCCTAGATAGCTGGGTCCGCTGTGTTATTAGTTATTGACTGACCGTGTTTCACTTAGGATTTAGTATTCCTAGGGTTGCAACGACATGTTGCATCTGTCCAGTCTTAAGTGCAACCATGTTATTCACGCAAGGTCCTTGACAGGCGGCATTCGATGTTTCATGCTCCGGAGAAGTTCAACACTGCTCGCTGCACAACCAGAAAGATCACGCTGACGTTTGTCACTGAGCAGTAGGGTCTTAGCTAGCGTAATGCATAGAATAGCGGACGTGATTGGGGAGCAAAGCGACGCGTCAGCTGTGTTTTGAGGGTTACCATCAGCCTGACGATCTGTGCTTCGTTCGCTCCAGCTTTAAGTCGACAACGACGACAATATTGTCATTTGCCAGCCGTCTACACCGTCAGCTATCAGCCGATGAGCAATCGAGTTGAAAGATCAAGTTGGCGAACTCTTAATAGGAAACTGGGTCGCGGGCGCGAGAACTTGTTTCGAACAAAAACCAGTTCCAAACTAGCACTTTGCCGTTTGGTGCCGCTTTTAGTAGTCGAAGTGGACGAAATGAAGCCTCTTCAGGCTTCGCCAGGAACACTCGTATACCTCGTTGCATTTTACCGTCGTTCGTTAGTTCATAACCTAATCCGTGCGTGATTTAGTGATTCAGCGCTGCACCCACCCTTGGCACGGCCTTCTACCTGGTTTATGTTGACCTTATCGTCTGCAGTACTCCCTTTTCGCGTCGTCGTATCGCTTGTGGAGTATCACAAGCTTGGCGTCATCACGCTGTCGTCAGTGTATGATGAATTGTTCGTTGGCGATTGTCCGAGCACTGATTGTCCTTCATCACCGCCACTGTCGCGTTCCTGCTTTTGACCTGAACTGTCGGCAGCGGAGGCATGTCAGTCGATCAAGCAGGTATTTGGCAAGCCGAGGTTTTCTTTATGTCATAGATGTGAATGCTGCCTAAAGCTAACGACAGCACCATATTTAAAATTTGAAATTTACGTCATTTTCCACAAGCATCCACTTTCGAAAGTTCTGACTTACTGTCTTCATCGCGCAGGGGCAGAAACTACCAGGGGTAGAACATCGCATGGCACTGTAATGCATGCAACAGATCTTTTCAGATATGTTTTCCTTTTGTTGTTAGCAAGTATTTCGCGAAACTCTGTTTACCATTCAGGGTATTTTGTTGGGCAGAAGGATATGTCGGCAGAAAACGGTTCGCTATCAGTGGTCTTTATTCTAAGCCGACGTTTCGGACAGCAACCACATTGACGATCATCATAGCACACAGTAAGCAGAACAGAAATATGGTATGGCTGTATGCGAAACAATCCCACGCAAGGTATGGAATTTTGGAACTCAGCATGGAACAGTATGGAACTCAGCCGCATTAAACAAGTATCTGAGTTTAAAAGTGCATTTTGATTCTCAGCCATGCGCTTTATGCAGTGTTTAATCTTTCTGTTAAGTGTTTTTGGGTTCCAGGCAAAGGTTGATGTGAAAACACCTATATTATTTTTTGTCAGCGTTTTATTCACTTAACAGTGGCTTACTTTCTTAAGAAGGCAATTTTTGTGTGATTAACATGTTTGAAACAGTTAAGGTATTTTAACATCAACCTTTACCTTGGCCAAAATGCTTTGGATCAGAAGATCATTCGACATTTAAGCTAAGATGTTAAAATGTACAAATATAAAAATAAACCAAGATGGAGGTAGCGTATTAGGCAAAAGTTATAGGTTAGACAGGCAGTGTATTAAGCTCAGTTGCTTAGACATATCAAACAAAGTGCTACAGTTGCCACACTTTCTTAACACAGATATGGAAAGATTTTTTTTAATTAATGATTTAATTCTGTCTTCATTTCAGTCAGTACTGAAGATAAGCAGTGTTAAATACGCGATAATAATTGAAGACATTTCTCTCAATATTTGTTTACTTCCTGTATATATTCGCGATGACTCTGGTGGGTTTCGCTAACCCCATTGTAGAAGTTCTGAATATCTTCGCGACCTAGAATGCACTACAGAAATTACAGTTTATTTCGTGTGCTACTTTATTAGCCTTAGTTCTAGTATTAAGCTTTGTTATAATATGGAGCATCGAGTTCCTTAATTAAAAATAGTTAAAACCCTTTATCTTCTTGAAAACAACGAATTTCCTATGATACGCTAGGGATAAATGAAATTGATAGTGGGAATCCGGATTTGCCTTATTCGATGGATCGTGTTTATAGTGAATATGAACAGTGGACTGTCGGTTTGCCTGGATTATTTTTCTTAAATTTAAAATTAACTGTTTAGTCAGTTTATTCTTTAGTAATTTTTTGTCATTACTATATCTACGCATTATGCCTGTATTATACTTTATGTCTATACTACCGGTACTGTATATATCTATATTGTATACTCTGTGGCACTTCGTAGTTTCCGGGAAGACGGCACACGACATATTATAAAGACAGGCTTATACATCTGTAACACTGGGCGACTATTCGCACGCTGAATAGCGAACTGATTCTTTTTCGTTACGCCTATTAAGAGCATCTTAAAGCAGCTGTTTTTATTCTCTTTGCATGCTGTTATGAATTTAGCCTAATGCTGAGAATCACTTATCACTATAGTAATTGAGAAATTTATGAACAGAATGATCTTTATTTTTATGTGAAATAGAACTGTCATCTATATGATAGGCTTGAAGCTGGTTTAATCAGAAGAATATTCGTTAATGGCCTTGAAGCTAAGCTTATTCAACGATTTCAGTTAGCGCGACCTTTAGTAATGAGCCATTGAAGCGCTATATTTTTGTCGTTAGTTGACATTGTCTAAATAAAAATAAATATTTTTCATGACAGCATCATTAAAAAAACGATGTCTGTGGGTTCTAACTTGCTAAATCTCAGGCTCAAGCTGTTTAATTCTATTTTCTCCTCCTTTGGTTCCCTGAAGAGAATGCTGGATTGCCTCTAAATCGACTTTATCAAACATGGCGCGGAATCACTATGAATTGCAGCGAATGATATTTTATCCATGAATTTTACTAAATACTTTATCCATAAATTTTATCGATTTTGTAATGTTGTTTTTAACAGTGGTATAAGTCCGTTTAAATGGGCTAATTACGAAGTTGTTTTGAAGGTGACTTGTAATTTGTTAATTTTAACTTTGGCAGCTGCTTGTGTGGCAACCTCTCATTTTTGAAGATTTTCAATAATGATAGTCACTGACGGTAACCACTTGCGCACCTTAAAGCTTTTGGGGCTCTGCTGAATATTTTGTTTTTGGTGTTTCGGTTTCGCAAGCAGCTGCTTATGTTCTTCATTGTCTTTCGTGTGTTCGAAGTTTCGTCTTCTGATTTCTTCTTGACATTTGGGCTGAAGCATTTGCTTTACTCGCTCTTGGCGTTAAGCTTCTGAACTCTAATAGGAAGACAGCTGTTCATTCAGTTTTTGAAACTTCCAAGGATGTCTTGAGTGCAGCTTGGTTCCTCGTTCTGTGAATAGAGAACGACTGACGATGAAATTAATGGTGATAATGCGACGCGAAGTCAAAAGGTCAAG